TCCAGATAGCCACTCCCGTTAGTCCCAAGCCATACTGTCCTTGCCCTTTGTTCTCCGATGCAGCCCCCCAACCAGGTCTTAGACTTTTCCCTGCACTGAGCCCCACACCCTTAAGGAACCCCCTTTCTTGGTATATCTCATCTGTAAGCCAGGGGAAGGCGAGCCTCAGAATAAGGAATATAGACTACCTGGGACTCTGCAGTCCTCTGCGTTCCTCTCCCCTGCCCCGTCAGTGGTCAGAGATCCTGGCCTAAAGTCTCTGAAACGAGTTCCTCCTGCCACTTTCCTTCCCCTGTGGCTGAGAAGGTGCGGTGAGGGAGGGGAGCTCCCCTCGTATTCCACCAGGGGACAGCTCAAGGTGAGACAGGACAGGAGCCTCAGACCCATTGGCTGCTCCTGGGAGGGGAGCAGCGCTCTTCAGCCTTCCGCCCAAGCCTTGGTCCCCACCCCAATCCATGTCGGCCCTTTCAGGAGCTTTTAGTGGGGATGAGCTCAGACCCGCAGCGCAGGCCCCGGCTCCCCTCCTGTCTCAGCTCCTCCCATTGCTCTTTGATCGTCTCTTCCGTCCGACCTCTGGGCCCTCTCTCCACCAGGCACTTCTGCAAGCAGCCCCCTTCATCCCCAGCGTCACCTCTTCCTCCTGTTTCTCATTCCACTCTCAGTTCCACATCCTCCTCCCATTCCCCTCTCTCCCCTCTTCAGACCCCCACTTTCCAGTTCCCTCACCTCCCCTGGGGCTTGCAGCAAGAGGGAGAGAGAGCTCCTGACAGGATTCATGATCCTTCCCCACCCTGTCCTCTCGTCTGCTCCCTCCCCATCGGGCACAGACAGCCCCTACAAAAGGCAGGAGCCCGGCTGCGTGGAGACAGCTGCTCTCAGACGCCCTTCCCTTCGCCCTCTGCTGGCTAGGCTGGGTTGTGCCTCTGCTCCCTCTTCCTCCAGCTGAGAGTGGGCACCTGGGGTGCCGGGCCCCCCACCTCATTCTCCATGAATGCTGTGGAAAGTCCTGAGGGGCAGGAGCTGCAAAAGCTAGGAAGCGGAGCCTGGGACAACCCCGCCTACAGTGGTCCCCCTTCCCCGCACGGGACACTGAGGGTCTGCACCATCTCCAGCACAGGCCTCCCCCAGCCCCAACCCAAGAAGACTGAAGATGAACCCGAGGAGACGGCACACAGGACCCGGGTGTCCAGCTGCTGCCTCCTTATCTGTAGAGGCATCAGAGGTACTGGGTAGGGGAGGGTTCTCCAGGGATATTGGAGTCAGAAGAAGGAGTCCTCACGAGCTTTTGGGCAGGGAGTGGAGGTGGAATGTAATCTGAAGAAGAGGTGGCTTTTCAGTGTCACTTTGGGGTGTGCGAATTGCCTATGGTGCTGCATGCCCCAGAACACAGAGGACAGCTGAATGGGCTACCGGTTGCAGGGAGCCTGGCATGGTCATCACTTGGGGCCCCAGAGGGGTATGTGGGAGCTGCTTGGAGGGAGGATGTGGATGTGATGACACCCTAGACTGCCCCACCTGGAGCAGATGCCTCCTTTCCATGCCTTCATTCTCTATGAGCCAGGGCCTTCACCCCTGTCGACCTCAGGGAGTTGATGGGAAGGGCGAACGCAGGTGTGGGAGAGCACCCAGATTCAGCCAAGGAAGAAGGCGATGGGCAAGGAAGGGCAGGGACAGGGGCTGAAGTCAGGGACAGAAGGGTGGAACACTGCCACTGGGGATCCCGGGCATCTCTCCCATGCCCCTTAGGACTTTGGGGAACAACCCTGACTGAGAACACAGCTGAGAACCGGGAACTTTATGTCAAGACCACCCTGCGGGAGCTGTTAATATACATTGTGTTCCTGGTGGACATCTGTCTGCGTAAGTAGCATTTGTCTCTGTGTACATCTGTCTGTGAGAGACATCTACGTGTGCACTATCTGTATACACATTCCTGGGGGTAACATCTGTGGAGCCAGCATCCATCTGTGTACACAGGCTATGTCTGGGAACTTCAGATAACAATATTCCAATACTATCTATTTATCTTCACAGCTTAAGATATTTTGTTTAAAAGGAATTTGTCAGTCAAAGAAGGCAGATTGTTAGAAAGCTGTTAATAAAAGTTGTTTGGTCAAGAATTACAAGACGAACCCAGTTTTTAAGTTCACTTGGCAGCCATTGTTTTCTGTTGGCTGAAAAGGTGAAAGTGGAAATGTTTACCCTTCTATAGAGAGTGGGCCAGCACGGTGGCTCATGCCTGTAATCCCAGCACTTTGGGAGGCCGAGGTGGGCACACCACCTGAGGTCAGGAGTTTGAGACCAGCCTGGACAACACGGTGAAACCCTGTCTTTACTAAAAATACGTGGATGTGATGATGCCCTAGACTGCCCCATCTGGAGCACCTGCAGGTGGGGCAGTCTAGGGCATCATCACATCCACGTCCTCCCTCAAACCAGCTGGGTGTGGTAACAGGTGCCTGTAATCCCAGCTACTCAGGAGGCTGAGACAGGACAATCGCTTGAACCTGGGAGGCAGAGGTTACAGTGAACCGAGATTGCACCGCTGCACTCCAGCCTGAGGGACAGAGCGAGACTCTGTCTCCAAAAAAAAAAAAGGAGGGGGAGGGAGAATGGAAAACCATTCCCTTCTATTTGGAAAAAATAGTTTGGTGGGCTTCACACAATTATTATACTATATCAGATTCATGTTTCTTTAGAGGCAGAAAAAGAAAAGAAAAAAGAGAGGAAGTAAAAGATCCAGGCGACCTTAGATCTCAGATCCCTGTTAAGAGAGGGAGGGACACAAATGGTGTGGTGATGGTCCCTGTGAGAGGCCACCATGTGGGGCCATTGGGGGAAGCTCACTGAGGCTCTAGCTATAGACACAAACTAAGAAGGTTTGACCTCTAAGTTGAGAGAAGCAAGTGAAAAGACAAGAGGGTGACTGGAAAGATGAGTCAAAGAACTGTAAATAATAATACAGTTGGACTAAACAGATGCTATTAGACCTACAGGTAATGACAGCAACTTTGTATTTGGTTTATTACTTCTTTCAAAAGTTGCGCAAGTGACGTTTGCCTAGTTTAGTATAGTTGTGTGTCAGGTCATGTTTTCATAAAAGCTGTGGGTGAGGCCATACACTAAGGTACCCTCATTACTGGGTGCTCTAGGCTCCATAACACTGTTCTTGTCAGGGTGCATAAATTTTTTAAAGTGGAGTCAGAGAGTCAGTCTGATAACATCAGTGTTGATGAAACATTTTGTTTTTTGAGCCACGCACATTTGTGCGAGTCCTCCAGGAAAGCTGGCAGAAAGCATTTGCTTCTGGCTGTTCTCTATCGGGCTCACTCTGTGCTGGACAGAAGGGGCAGTCCTCTGTGTTTACCACCCGCCACTCGGCAGGGAGTGAAAGGACACAGTGCATGTGAGGAACAACAGCCTGCCCAATGTGCATTTTGTGGGGCCCTTTCAATTCCTTTCAGCAAATGGCTGTCAGAAATTCATTTGTTGACGTATTGATTTTTTTGTCCTAACCATCTGCTAGCAAGGAGGATTCATCTCCTTTTTCAGATCCCGTGACAGCAGCTGAAACCCACAGGCAGAGCCTTTCTCTATAAATGACTTAAACATCTCTCTTTCCAGATTAGCCTCTGGAATGGGACTGTTTCTAGCTCCCCAGAGTTACAGTGAACCATTTTTCTTTTTTTCATGATCTGTGGTTTTCTTTTTAATTATCGGAGAATTGTTTTTTTTTTTGAGTCGGAGTTTCGCTCTTGTTACCCAGGCTGGAGTGCAATGGTGCAATCTCAGCTCACCGCAACCTCCGCCTCCTGGGTTCAGGCAATTCTCCTGCCTCAGCCTCCTGAGTAGCTGGGATTACAGGCACGCACCACCATGCCCAGCTAATTTTTTGTATTTTTAGTAGAGACAGGGTTTCACCATGTTGACCAGGATGGTCTCGATCTCTTGACCTCGTGATCCACCCGCCTCGGCCTCCCAAAGTGCTGGGATTACAGGCGTGAGCCACCGGCCTTTTTTTTTTAAGACAGGGTTTCACCATGTTGGTCAGGCTGGTCATGAACTCCCGACCTCAGGTGATCCACCCGCCTTGGCCTCCAAAGTGCTTGGATTACAGGTGTGAACCACTACACCCAGCCTTCTTTTTAATTATCTTGAGTCTTGTGATCACACATAATTTTTTAAATTTGTGTATATCTCCTCTACTTTAATCCTTTTAAGTTGGCAAAATCGCCATTCCCAATCACAAATACACAGCAGTTCTACAGTTTTGTTTCTGAATGGCTGTTTAAAGACAATCCTAAATTATAACTTAGTTTGACCTAGATTGTAAAGAATTCAAGAGTAAAGGTTTTGGCTACTAGGCATGTAACCTTATAGATCATATATAAAATGTGTGAAGTGTTAAGTAATTTTTGATATTACACATAAACCACACTAAAATAGCTTTCAATAAGTAAAAGGAACCATTTTAAATACAGGGAATTCTAATTAGATTGGCATAGTTAAGGCCAAAAATATAAAGTAGCCATTGCTACCCATTTATCTTCAACCCTTGCCTTTAAGAGGCAAATGAACACAAAACACAGGTGAATCTTGCTTGGTTCTGACACAGTGAAGGAATTTCCCCCATATTTAAATATATTCACATAACCAGTTATATAAATCTAAATATAAAACCAATCTCCATTAAGTTTTAAGATGGCACTCACCATCTTTGCGAAACGTTTAACATTGCTAACAAAGTCTAATCATATCTTTAGAAGGGGTAAACAGTGATAGCATTTACTAAATTGGAATTACTATTAAAATTCAAAAACTGAATATACTCATTTAACCACAAGCCAGTCTTAGTTTTAAATCAGGACT